AATCTCATACTCAATCGATGCTATAATGCGTTCACTAACTCTTGTTTCGAGGCCCAACATGGATAGGTGCACTCACACCCCTCCAAAAATAAGCACCACTACTCCCGTCGGCAGCCGCCATGTCAAAGCCCCTCTTTTCGCTACTAATCACATTCTTACATAATCTCGCTTGATATCATTTGGCCGAAGGGCTCCCACTGGAACCATAGATACCCGCTACACCACATGCCATCTCTTAACTCAAACTCGAAATAATTCGAACCTTAGGACATCACACTCGGATATCTCAGAACACCATTACAAAACTTCACGATGCCTTGCCTCTATCACTGATCTCATACTCACAACATCATGCTCAGATACCACATTGCTTCATCGGAATCTCGCAACCGATCTTCCTCTTGCACCACTTGCAACCTCGAAGGATTCCACTTCCCAATCTTGAAACACAGAGGTATCATCAAAGGCTCAGAACACGTTGACGAAAACCCGAAGCTCCATTCTCTACTGATCACTACCCACACGGAACTACTCAGGCCACTCCTAAAACTGGTTGACAAACCATTTGCTGCCCTTCCGGGGGTATGGATCACAATTTATACCTACACTTGCAAATCTCTGCCATTGCACCCTGAATCCAGCGATCCCATCGCACTCGAATTCGACATACGCAAATTCTGAAAATCCCAGGCCACAATGAATTCTCCAATCAATGATCACCTACCGGGGATCCACTCATCCTTTCCTAAACGCGTACTCGTATCTTTTGCTGCCCGGCACCTTGCCTCATCCTTTTCTAACTCAGGTCTCATATGCCCGTACCGCAGTTTTCCATCACCATTTCTCTGACCGCACTTGAACGGATCACCGATCTCTTTACAGGAAAGCATGTTCTCCCCCTCTCAAGGTTCGAACCATCACCATTTGGCACGACCACAACCTACTCAGTAGACTGTCCCACCAGGTATGTCACACTTGACTCTTGGATGTAGAATGCAATCCTCCCAGGGACTTCCCCAAGGAAACCAAACTATTCCCATAAATCCCGTCCCTGACAGCATCTCGGAATCCTCCCCACATAACTGCCTCTAGACACTTTGAGGTCTCAGACTGATACACCACCGGAACCCCACTATTCTGAATCCAATCTGGAATAGTGCCCTCTCACACACTTGACTCTAACTCTTCGCCCCGCTTACCCAAATCAGAAATAATCCTAAAAGCACAGACTTCATCCTCATTGTCGATACACAATGTGGACCACGAGGGCCACCGCCCCGGTATACTCATCTCATCCACCGAAAACTGACAATAACAATACACCACTCTCAACAAGCACCTCTTCGTTCCCATCCGTCTTAGTCCCACCAATGACTCTTTCTTGGTATAAGAATACCTCGCAGCCCACATACTGCCCAAATGTTCTGGTGAAAAGGTCACCATGCTTGCTACCCCACAGGGTTTACCTTTAACTGCATCCCGCAGAAAACTGAAATAGCACCACCCAAGTCACAAAAGTGACATCTCCACTATCGGCCGGTCGCTCAGCCCAGACCGTATTCTTCCATAATACACCATCCCTACTCATCCCTGAGTCTTGCGACTCCAACTATCATCTCGCCAACAATCCCTTCGAGCTAACTCGATTTCCCTTTCAAGGGATGCTCCACTAAAACTCGTTCATCATGGCCTTCTGGCCCCATACTCTTTCACATCTGATCTCAGTCTAGACAATCACCACGGAATAATTGGTAAAACCAGAAGCACTAACTGTCACATGCCATGGTACTCAAACCGTGTGGCCACCTCTCGATCTGCTATGAATCATGGTAACCGAACCATGACGTCACCTCTCAATCTGCTACTTATCATGGTACTCGAACAATGACATCACCTCTCAATCTGCTACTTAGAATCCTCCGGAATAGCCTCCCGGATCGCTGCGGCCACCTCGTCATGAATCATACGGAAAATCTCATCATCGCTAACACCGCTGCTCTCCGGTGTGCGTCGTGTACCATCCATGACGTCTCACAACATAAAAGAAGTCAGAGACTCGCTCGAGTATACTTGCACTCGATCACTCAGCCCTACTTGTTACTTAGCATCCCAAGGATTCTTACTTGGACTGCTCACTGATCCGGTGTTTCCAGTAGTACGGGCCCTATACTACCTTCCACACCACATCAGTGTTCACCCCAAGTCCTCCTCCTAGGATTCCAGATCACAAGTACTCTACATCTTATCACACACAGGCCACTTTCCAGTAGACCTCTCACAAGCTCCTCTTTGCTACTTACTCACTCTCGAAGTAACTCACAGCATCAGTAACTCCTAGGCTAAGGCATCACAAATCAGGCCACTCTAGTCCTAGATATGAATACCTAGCCTACTCTCTAGCATGCATAACATATCATATAATATCTCATAACCTATAACGTAAGGGTATTTTAGGAAATCACTGTTCGGGCGCTGGCTGATTGTACACACTGCTCCTTTCCGCTTTCTTGAAAATATTTTACTTATCTTAGAAAATCGTTTCTTTTTGAAAACTTTTCTCAAATCCTCAGTTTGAGTTCAGATATGCCCGAAGGTGTATCCGAATCCCTCAAACCAAGGCTCTGATACCAACTTGTAACACCGTAAATTTTCAAACAACTTTTTCATTTTCAATTCATAAAAACATATATCATATTGTTCAACACTAATTATTCATTTAACAAAGTTTTCACAATCATCACATAAAATCCAGGATCCACAGTAGCTCTTCCCAAAACATAGTGTGTGTGTGTACAATCATGCCGGTGCCTTCCCGCGATCCTGATAAGAACCTGAAACACATAACACATAACACGGTAAGCACGCATGCTTAGTGAGTTCCCCAAAATACTACATACAGCACATAAGCCACTCGAGGCTATAGCTCTACGAGACCTTCCGGTCAATGTGTCTCAGGGGCCTTTCGGTCCCACAATCTGAGTAGACCTTCCGGTCCTACTCTGTCGACCTTCCGGTCCATACCATACTACTCATAACATACATAACACATACATATCACATAGAAACATATATCGCATACTCGTCATAGCACATAAGACCTTCCGGTCACACACAATTACCATTCTAGGTAAGGTATAGTGAGAAGACTCACCTTGAAAGCAACCAAGTGACAGCCTCGCACTCGGAAATCTCGACCTAGCTTCCGCCTAACACATAGGATAAACATCTCTTAACAATACACACCCAATGTTATTCTCTTTCTCTGTCTAACTCTTGAAGTGGGTAAAAGACCATTTTACCCCTCCATGGCTTCCATCACATGGTTGACCCAACCCTAAAGTCAACCGTAGTCAAACTCGAGTCCACAGTCCAGATCTAACACGACTCGGCGAGTGCACCCTTGTGACTCGTCGAGTCGACGCACTTTCTCCGAAGTTTCGCGAGGATTCAGATCAACTCGTCGAGTTGACCCCACAACTCGCCGAGTTAGTACGCGATTCAGCTTGACCAGGAAAACCCTAACCGACTCGTCGAGTCGGCTCATGGACTCGGCGAGTCTATCCAGCCCCTTTACTCATTTGGACGATTTCACTCAGATCTATCACTCTAAACTATAGATCTAACATCTCAAGGCTCAATAATCACGTAAAGCTTCAATCTTTACGTTCATGCATGATGTTATTGCTTCAAAATGCCATTACATGCCCTCCATGAAAGATTTAGCTCATCAACCCTCATTTGGACAACTAAAGCTGGGGCATCTAGTCTTCAAGGACCTCACAAGGTTCAGATCTGAGGTTTCCCTCCTCGGATCATGTCTCAATTAGCTCATAGGCACAAAAGAAGGGGAGTAAAACCCTAAAAATCCCAAGATCATGACATCTAACCAAAATAGATGAAAAGGATGCAAGTTTATACCTTCTACAGCAGTTCCACGTGAAGAAATGCTAGATCCACCGCCCCCATCTCGTTTCTTGCTTGAATCATGCTCTTTTCCTTCCATAAGACCCACCAAATTACTTGATTTCATCATAAGAACTCTCTCATGGCTCCAATGGCGATTTAGGGCTTCTCACAGGAGGTATGAGGCGCACCTAAGGTCATAAGTTCCCTTAAATAGGCCCCAACCCAGAAACTTAGGGTTTTCTCTGCCCAGAACCTACTCGGCGAGTCTGTCCTTGGACTCGTCGAGTCTACTCATTAAATCCACGTGATCAACTCGACGTGACTCGGCGAGTCAGACCTTCGACTCGTCGAGTCCCTCCTAAATCCTCAAAAATTGAAGCGCAAACTATCATACCCGAAATTCCGGATCTTACAATACAACACAAATCCTTGGATGATGAAGGAAGCAGAAAGGAGTGATGAAAGACCAAGATCTTGATGGCAGCCAACGACAACAAGGAGAGCATGCACGGAGGAGGAAGAAGACCAGTGGTGAGAGGTAAAACCCTTCAGAACTGTCGATGACAATGGTGGTTCTAAGGTTGCTTGAAAAAAATTATGTGCATATGTTGATTTGTGAAAATACCCCTTAGGTTTAGAGATGTATTTAATTGTTTTAAATAATGAAACCAATATACAATATTTACCAAGGTTGTAAAAAGAGTTTGACGTTAGTTAGTCGGTGGACTGGGGTTAAGGAATTAATCGGCTAGACAGAGATTAATCGGAGACTATTAATTGCTAATTTGTTGAATTTTGAAAATTGAAATATGACTAATGTCATAACAAAATTCGTAAATACAACTAATATCATAACAAAATAGGAATCATTTCTCAAATAGTTTCTATTGAGATAGAACTTCTTAAAAGTGTTAAAATTTTATTGTTTTTTAGTGCTTCACTCATTATGTATGCAATGATTAATCACTAGGCGCCGCTCTAGTCGGTCGAGTAGCGTCTAGAAGTTTGTTTATTATTAACATTATTAATTGCTTAATAATTAATTTCGAGATTAATTATCAGTGTTGAAGAGGTTGATACTATGTCGATACGTTGAGTCAAATGTTTTGGTGCCAACAAAAGTACAGTATCTTATGTAAATGCATGAACGCGATTATTATTTGATTGATATGAATGTGCGCCATTAAGTACACTATACAACATAATTGAATGGGTTGTGGTGATCCAGTTCAAATACACGATCTTTACGCAACCAAAATGCTTGAAAGCTCACCAGAACTCCCTTTATGCGACCTCCGCGTTGTAGCAACTACTGGATTATCATCTTCATAAACATCCATCGATGTATCAAGCTCCAACCCTTTGAAAACCGGATGTATATAGGCACCACGAAGATACGTCCTCAGGTTCAGATGAGGTTCTCTTGCATTTTCCAGTGTATCCTTGATCATCGCATCCTGTAATCAAGTTTCACAACATTATTCTCATAAATATAAAGGGTAGTTTCGTCTTTCCACATGGGTATTTCATACTTGTATATCATTAAATCTATAATTAATTATTAACCTGTAATGGAAATCTTCTGAATGCAGATTCAAACCGGCTCTTGCAATACCGATGAAACAAGAAGGTTAACACCGGTAACACGAGCATGAAAGGTGTCGAGTGTAATGCTTGTTTCGTGCTCAATAATCCTAACAACAAAATCTGTGAAATCATCAAACCAATAATAATACGCCGATGAACATCCGGCCAATATGATGCTGCACTCTCGTACTTCTGGTCGTATACATTAATGACCTAATTCCATATAAAATTTTGCAAGAATTCAATTATTAGTCAAGATTCTTAATTCTCTCGATTTAACTTGCTCCACGAACGTTATATATTACAAATAATGTTACCTGATGACGGAAAACCAGATAGGCAAATGCGAAGAAAACAATGATGAAGGGGAGGAGGATAGGGGTAACAGTAGAGTACACAAGTCCAAGCAAGAAGTACAACTGCATACGAGGCTCGTATGTGGCCCAAAGCAATGAACCCTGATCTGTTGCCTGCTCTCTGTCGATTTCGGTTTTCACCAAGAAAATGTTCTTCAAGTGAAAGATAATCAATGGAACCACTTTTAGGATCTCTGCAGCGATACCCGCCCAACCATCGACCATAATGTATGTGATAAAGAATGTTGCTTTCATTGGAATCGCCACACTAGCAATCTTCGGAATCCTGCATTGAGTAGGAAAAAGATGTCAAAATCTTTTTGTAACAACCACTCCCACATTGAGAATAAGTTAGAAACTGAGAACTACGCCCCTAAGAAGACCATATTTGACGGACTAGCTAAGAAGTTATCTGCTAGCTGATAAAAAATAACGTTCTGCAAAACTAGCTGAAATATGTAAATTGATATAAATGGTTATTTCCAAGATTTAGTTTTTTTATAACTAATAAAGGATATATTTCTGAGAATTTCAAAAAAAAAAAAAAAAAAAAAACTCAATAAGTTCGTTAAAACATTAGTCTTGATAGCTTTTTAAAAAATATTTTTTTGATTTGTCAGATTTAACAATTTAAAAAAATTGAAAAATAAAATTGTTTTAAGTTGATTGAAAGATTACTGGGCTAAACTGCAAATTTGGGCTTACTTTTGAAATAAGTTTTTCTAGTTCCCCATGGTTTGGGAGTTTGGGTTAACTTATAATTTTAGGGCAAAAGGGGTTATATACAGAAAAAAAAAATTACCACTTTATAACGTATAAATTTAACAAATGGACAATCTTTTTACAGCGATAAAACCCACCGATTTTGGAACTCATCATTTGCGAGATTCTAGAAAATTTTGAAATTGATCCCCACCAAAAAAAAAAAAAAGAATTATAGATTATTTTCAACTTTTTTTTAGATCTTTTTAAGAGTTATTCTTTTGTGGTGGAAACTATTTTGCAAAACTAAATTTGGCTATTTGCAAAATTGGTAATATTTTGGGCAAATTACATAAAAGGCACTATGTTTATATAAATTTATATAAAATTTTGATTATGACATTGTATTTTATTTTTTCTCAATTAAGTCATCAAGTTTATATTTTTATTGCAAATTTAACCAATCGAACGGGTTTGCTTCAGTGGTTCATGTTTTCTCAATTAGAAAAAAAGCTGATGTGGCTTCCACATATGATTTGAGTTGGCAAGCATTTTGGTTTAATTTAACGTTTACGTAGATATGTACTCATTTCTCCTTATTTCTTATTATTTTCTTCACTTAGAGCATCAACCATTTTGTGGAATGGCTTCCCGAAGTCGCTCAAGAGGTTCTTCTTTCCAGAGTGGTGTAAGAAAGACAATGAAGGTTTCCTTTAGGAGATGTTAGTGTAGGCAACTTTTCTTCTATCGCTTACACCATTCTAGAATGATGAACCACTTGAGTGACTTTGAGAAGCCATTGCACAAATCGTGATTCCTGAGAAAAAAAATAGGTAAAGTAAGTACATATCTATGTAAGGGTTCAATTTAATTCAAATATTTACTAATTACGATGATATGCAAAGCTATATCAGATTTTTGTCTAATCAGCAAATGATAAACATGAAACATTTAAACCCAATTGATTGATTAAGTTTGCAACAAAAGTGTCATCTTAATGATTTAATTGAGAAAAAATAAAACACATTGTCAAAATCAAAATTTTATGTAAAATTTGATGTCTTTTATGCAATTTACCCTTATATTTTTATGATTACTAAAAAAAAATTTAATAAATTAATCTTTAACGGTGGTAGTTTATGTGAATAGCCCCGGGAGAAAGGGTAACAACATACTCGGATGGCGACTCTTTCAAGAACACTTGAATTTGCTGCAGCACGGTTCCGGTTATGATGCTTCCAAGAAACACATTCACTAGCAAAAAAAGATGAAATTTACCAGCTGCTCTTGATTCCAAAGTTGAGATCGTAAAGTAGCCTTCTATTTTGGACATTTCCATTAGAATCATCGGAAGGAGAATGAGGAAGATCTTCAACACAATCCCAGGAAGAAACCCTTGAATAATCGCCTTCATAGATCCTCTGTGGAGATACGATTACGAATTACGATTTACAATTCAAGATTCAGTAAAGAATTAATCAATTTTGGTTCAGGTCCACTTACGCATCGATAATGGGTTTCAGAAACGGAACAACTTTCTCGATTGATTCAATGTTGGCCAAAGTTTGAACAAACGCGATGGGAATCATGAAGAAGAAAGTCAGACCGATGAAGGCACCAGCCATTAACACTCTTCGAATGTTGAGCTCCATGAACGGCATGGATAAATTGTCCCAGTAAACATCGCGTGGTTCGGGAGCCCAATCCGTGATCCAATGAGTCGGATTCCTCGTTTGTTGTGTTTGTGCACAGACGGCTGCACCCCATCGCGATTTGAATGAAACAAACGCAGCTGGAACAACAGCTTTCGGGTCACCAATCACTCTTTCTCTTTCCGCTACTTCCTGAAAACAAAATCATTTGATTAAAATCTGCACATTTAAAAAGAATGAATCTTGATGATCGATTCTTACTTTGTTGCTCAACTTCTCGATTTCTGCAGAATAGTAATCAATGGCGTCGATCGTCTTTCCCCAAAGTCCCCAAAAACCTGCCTATACAGATAACCTTCAAAGTTATAGACAAATTAAAGACATAACGAAAGGTGAAGTGGTAAACACAAAACATCTAGCCACAAACCTTCGTGGTTGGCCTTCTATTGGGTCTTCTCTCGTACTTATTGGTGTAGTAGACAAGCCGATTACGCAAATCCTTCTTCTGGTTCACTATTTTCGCGAGCTTATTTGCATTATACACCACCTATGATTCAAAAATTACATTGAATATACAAACAGATTCAAGTTTCAAGATAAAGAAAGATACAGAATTGAAGAGCTTTAGTCAATCTGTAACCTGATGTAAAAGATATTGATCAGGGTGATTAACACGAAAAAAATGCTCAACATATTCACTAACGGATTCATCAACATCAGGGGGGATGTTTCTCACAAGAACCTACACACAGAAAAAAGTTAAAATCAATAATCTTTTTAATTTCTTCCAGAAAACATAAATTAATAAGCACAAAAAACTTACAGTAAACTGATCTGGGCGACGCTTTTCGGTGGCAAGGAAATGCAACCTCATGTCTGTTACAATTTTATATTCCCTATAAAGCATATAGCATGTCCAAAAAGTAAAGACGTACGCCATAAATATATGCACAAATAGCCTGATAAAGAGAGAAACAATCTTTAGACTCAAGTAGTTAGCTTTGTATAAACTTACTCAAAAAAAAAAAATGAAAAAAATTTGGGAACCTTTTTGATCCAGAAGGGACATTGGATATGGAAAACTTGTCTATCTGACTGAATGTTAAATCTTCCACTTTGGTGATCAATATCTCAAAATTTCTGTCTGTATAATTTACAGGTAACAACACAGTGAAAGCAAGCAGTGCAATCGGAACAAAAATTTTCAACCTGCATAGAGTTATGTGCATTAATTAACTAATAAGATAAAACAATTGGAAAGAAAAAGAGAAAGTTGTGAGTTTATTTTTTACCCAAGAAGATAGATTCGAATGTACACAGCAGAATCAAGTCCAGCATGGTCGATAAGCTCGGATTCTGGCATTTTTAAGGAAGCAGGAACCCAATTTAAGAGTTTTAGATACATTCTATAATCTAGATTGATAAATTTTTTTACAAAAGGTCCTGTAGTTTTTGTATTTTCTCGTATGCCTTTGAGATACCATTTTGAGAAGTAAACTCGATCGTTCATGGGTTGAAGGCGTAAAATCCCGAATAACACAAGAAACAATATTGCAGATAAACCGTTAATGGTGGCGGATGCTGTGATATCTGAAACAGTAGCCATTTTCCTTTATACAAGATCAAACGAGATACCTACAATTCACAAGAATCATTGTTACTTGTTAGTTTGCAACAAAAATTAAGGAACTACTTAATGTTGGTGATTTTAGTGTTGGGAAATCTCCAATAAAGTCCTGATATGTTTGGTTAGTTTACAGTTTAATCCCAATATTTATTTTTTGAATAGAAAAGTCTTGATTATTTTATATTTTGCCCAGATTAACGAAACAATCCTTATTTTTTTTCAACAGAAAATGACAGATTATCGGTATAAAATTAGATAATAGGGACTTTTCTGTTCAAAAAAATAAATTTTGGGATTAAACTGTAAACAAACCTAAAATATTGAGACTTTAGGAGATTTCCGTAAGACCATTTAGTGTGATTGGAATTTATTTAGATTGTGATCTAATACAAGTCATGTGGTGCTAAATGCACATGCGAATGAGACTAGTTTGACTTTGATTTAATACAAGCCCACATATTAGACAAAATAAATGTCAAGTAATGGTTTTTCTGCATCTAATTTTCATAATTCTCCAAAACTGTCATTCTTGCAAACTAAAGTGTCTTTTTTGTTTTTGCAGGATTAACTTTACAATGAAAAACAAGCACAATGGCTCATAAAGTTAATCAAATAAGCAAATATCATATCATTGTTTCTTGAAATCACAACTAGAACCCCAAGACAGTTTCTCTAATTTCTTTCTTTTTAAGGCGACATTAATATCAATAAGATGAAAGTGGGAACTCAAATCAAAGAAGCAGCTCAAGAAACATAAAGAACAGGAAACCAATTGCAGTATCTTAGTTATTAGAGCATACGCATCTACCAAATCTCATGAAAAAGCTATGTTTCATCTGGACATCGAAGTGCAAATGACTATACTCCCAAAAGACCTACAAGCATATATGCAATACAACCCCAAGCCAAAAAATTCAGTCTTTATTGGTTTCGTAAACAAGATTTTATCGGGTTTCCAAGAATCTTTATCCTGAAATATGCGACCATGCCCAGAAACTGGTTTGCCAACACTAAGCAACCATCAGGTTATCGTATCTTAAAAGTAAACCAAGAATCCCTAATAATCTCTTTACACAACATATTCAATCATCAATTGCGTTCAAGTGGGAACTCAAATTAATAGAGAAAACGGAAATTAACTGCATAATCTCATATATCACATCACAATAAAACCTCAAAGCAAGTTTCCAAATCTATATAATTATCAAAAAGACGAAGGATCCATAAACTCGAAAAAAGAATCCAAAAAGCATGTGCTACATTCCTCATAAACTCGACATGTTTCGGGTTTCAAAGAATCCAAAATATTACCTTTTTTCCTCAGGAACAAGTAGATGAGTGGAATAAACAGAGTTCCAGAAGTCGGATTGTTTCAGGTTTGGGTGAAAGACAGAATAGGATGGAGGGAAGTCGACAGCAACCGCGTAAAGCAATGAGTTATGAGTTTGCCACTATTGCACCAAGACGTTAGCTTAACAGTTGCGTAGGAATACTTGGATTTTTTTTAAATTCCTTTTTTTTCTTTATTTATTTATTTATGAAAAAGGCTACGTCCTTTAAATATATTCTTAACAGATATTTGACAGCCAAAAAATCGACTATCATATGATTTATTTATAGCATTTAAATATACCCTCGCCTAAATTTGGCAAAATTACATCAATAGTCTTTGTGGTATGTTCGAATTTACGGATTTCGTCCATAAAATTATTTTTTCACTTGGACTATCTTTTTGGTTTTATTTTGTTGCAATGTCATTCTTGATGTTAACAACTTTATTAAATTGGTGTTAAATAGTTGTAATATTACCTTTTTAACCTTAATTGTTTATTTTATCAACCAGTTGTGAGACACATGTATTACATGAGTTAATTTAAAAAAAAATTAAATATTAAGGTCTAATAATTGAGAACTTTGAATTTATAAAAAAAATAAGAAAAATAATGAATTATTAAAATTGAAATGTTTTTTATCTTTTAAATTTAAACAAATAATTTAAATAAATAAACAAAAGAAACTAATAAACTGTAATTTAAAAATTTTGAAATTAGAAAGTAAGCTAATTAATGAAATTGATATCCATTAATTATTATATTTATTACAATTATTATATTAAAATATTATATGGATTTTTTAATAAAATAGGAAAACCCATAAAATGACATGTGGAAAAAAAATTAATTCGAAATTATCACAAGTTGACATTTGTCAAATTGGAGGAGAGCATGTCATGTGGCAAAAAAGTTCTTTATTTATTAAGGAGGATTAGGATTATATTGTCTTATATTTGAAACATCCCAAAAATCATAAGTAAAAATTTCATTTTTTAATTGCCAAAAACCATTAAATATTCATATCAACCGTCCAGAAGTATGTCAAAGTAAAAATAATTATCAGAGTACAATCCCAAAATCATAAAAGTATGGAAACATGGGTGGATGCGTTGCGATTAAGTCGAACCCTTCCCCTTTAAACCGGAAGTACCTGAAACAAAACTTAAACCGTAAGCACAAAGCTTAGTGAGTTCTCCCTAAAATACTACATACCATACATACAATGGGCCTCGCCCGACATCCATCGGGCCTCACCCGTCATTGGGTCCCGCCTAATACAGATCTTTCAATAACATGCGATAGGCTCCGCCCAACACACTCATCAGGCCTCGCCCGGTATACATGCAAACACATACAATACATGCAAGGGTCACACAGACAGCTAGCATTCTAATAATAATAATAGTCAATGGGCCGACATTGGTGCCTTCGACCCGCCAAAACACTATGAAAAAGTCTCACCTCAATCAAACGATGAACAGTCACATGCATAGGCTGCTGCTACGATGGATCCTCAACTGAACACATCCAAACTAACTCTAATAAATAACTAGGGTAATGACCACAACTAAAAGTCCACTCACAAACCCTCACACAAAGGGTAAAAGACCATTTTACCCTTCCTACCCTAAGCCCAAAAAGCCATGGCCCAAGCCCAAGAGACCTACGACCCATGAAGTGGCCCAAAAGGCTTCTGGTGAGTACCCCCCACGTACCACTAGTACGCCCCACATATAAGCTAACATAGCAAAAGGAAAAACGGGGCTCAGGCGCGTTACGCTCAGTGTACACTTATGTACGCCCCACATACTACCCAGATCGCCAAAACCTCATTAAGCACTTAATGCTTTAAGTTCAAATGTCCAAATTGCAGATCTAGCTCTTGGGAAACGTCTTAAATTATATAGTCATTAACTTGATGCCTTTGCATGGCTCAACAAGGTCCAACGCTCATTTCTAACACTCTAACTTCATAATATGATCATCAACTCTTGCATGGTTGAGCTAGATCCATCAAGATGCCATTTTTATGAACAAGGGACCTTAAAAACACCAAGATCTACTCATCTAAGCTTCTAGATCAATCCATGGGGCCAAAAAGTGCCAAAAACCCTAACTAGCTTAGATATAAATAAAGAATCACCAAGATTAAGACTTTATGCCTTCTGGAAGATGATGAAGGTGAATAGATTCTAGATCCACAAGCTTCAAATCAAAAAGGCTTCTCCAAAGGGCTCTTGTTTCTTCAAGATGCAGCAAACACACACCAAAACACACACAAGGCTCAAAACACTTTAAAATGGGACTACGGTTTCGTGGGAACTACTTTGGGACGAAGGAGGTTGATCATGGAAGAGGCCTTGGGGTTATAAGGTGCTTAAATAGGGTCCAAAAACTAAAATTTAGGGGTTGCCTCTGGCTCGAGTATGCCGAGCGTACCATATGTACGCCCAACGTACTAGGGGGAAAACCTCGTGTCCAAGATTTTCCATGGTACGCCCAGCGTAGCATGATTACGCCCGACGTACTACGTCAATGCACAAAATCAATAAAAACTTTAGAATTTAAGAAATTTACCTGAAAACCGGGAGTTATAATTCTCCCCTACTTGAATCAGACTTCATCCTCAAAGTCCGCCTCCACAAACAACTTTGGGTAGTACTCTCTCATCTCCTCCTTATGCTCCCATGTCCATTATGAACCCTTCTGGTGTTGCCATTGCACCTTCACTAAACCCACAACCTTATTCCTCAAGGTCTTCATCTTCTTGTCTAGGATCGCAACCAGTCTCACTATCTAATTCAGACGCTCATCCATCTGAATATCCTCTAAAAGAACCACTACGGAATCATCAACCAAACACTTTCACAGCTGAGAGACGTGAAAAGTGTTGTGAATCTGACAGAGCTCCTCGGGTAGCTCCAAACTATAAGCAACCTTGCCCACCCGGGCAATAACCCTCAAGGGATTGACATATATGGGGCCTAGCTTGCCCTAATTACTGAATCGGATGACACCTTTCCAAGGTGACACCTTCAGGAGTACCATATCCCCCACCTGAAATTCCAAGTCTGACCGACGTCTATCCGCGTAACTCTTATATCGACTCTATGCAGTCTGCAATCTCCCGTGTACCTATTGGATCAACTTATTAGTCTAGAGCACCACCTCCGTGCTACCCATAACTCGCTGACTGACCTCACCCCAACAAATCGGGGTCCGACACTTTCTCTCGTAAAGCATTTCAAAAGGAGGTCGATCAATATTGTGTGGTAGCCGTTATTGTAAGAAAACTCAGCCAATGGGAGATACGTATCCCAACTACCACCAAAATCAAGCACACATACCCGAAGTATATCCTCCGAGGTCTGGATAGTCCGCTCGCTCTAACCATCGGTCTGTGAATGAAAAGTTATGTTGAAATGCAATCGAGTACCCAACTCCTCATGGAACCTCTTCCAAAACCTGAAAGTCAACCGAACATCTTGATCCGAAAACCACTGAGACGGGAACCCCATGTCGTGCTACAACCTCCTAGATATAGACATCTGCTAACTTCTACACAGAAATGATCTCTTGAATGGGGATAAAATGCGCACTCTTGGTCAATCGGTCCACGATGACCCAAATCGAATCCACCCTAGC